GCAGTTTCGGTTTTCATTTGTTTATAAATCGTTAACACTACCCGAAATGAAGTAAATGCCCTACTTCAAATCGCCCAAGCGAAGTGCCAAACCGACAGAATTAGTCACGAGGCGCAAGATTTTCGATCGTCACTAGTCAGTGAGAGACGTAACTCTAGAGCGAAGTCCTTATTGCGTAGATAATCATCACGCGCGTAACAAAGAAAATTCCCGCCTTTTATGGAAACACAAACAAGCTCATTACTGTGTTCACAGGCGTCAGTCTTGAGTCGTATTTAATCCTGTCCTCACCCTCCCACCCTATTTCCTAAAGACCCTTCTTAATATTATCCTTCTTTCGTATGTTCAGGTTCTCCGAATGGTCTCTCGTCTTCGTTCCTGAAAGAAAACAGGCAAAGCAGATAATAAATCTGTGGATTTACTCACGTAAGTGACGCACGACAGTCCCACCAGGTAGCATAACACGGCGATAGAAATGCAGAAGGCTAGTTTGTGGTTCCGAAGGACAGTGATCTCGTCTGATATGCTAGTGAGGACATTCTCCAAGAGGGCGAACTGAAAGCACACTGAACGCATATTAACGTTTCGAGTACAGCACACATCACCACAATCCACTACAACAAACGCCCGGCTTTCACCCCAATTCTAAATCTGATCAATCCAGGGCCTACGATTCGAACTACCATGTGGTACAGAATACTACTGGATCATATCCTCCGCCAGTTTAACCCAATCGCTTGTATTTTTGGATCCTATTAAACCAAATCCAGTTCATATTAGTCTGTCCGTTCGTACGGCTGAACGGATTTACGTAAAGTTCGATATTGGGAAGTTTTGATAATTTGTTCGTATTGGTTTCGTTGCTGTTAATTCAACAATAACAATTCTGTACAACAGCTTAAAATAGGCCACGAGCGCTTTCATCCACACCCTTTCCAATTCATCACTCGAAATAATCCTGTTCAACAGAAAACGTGTTTAAAACACAAAGAGCAAAATTCCTGCGCTGTCTTTGTTTATTTCTGTGACGCAGATTCTTATTTAGGAGGATGACGTCAATGAATGGAGACTCAAGCCGTGCTGTTATGACGTGGCTAATGACATCACCATATGCTCAACATCTCAGTCTGCAGGAACGCGAGAACTTCTGATGACGTCATCAATCACCTGATGCGCACGCGCACACCGAAAAGACAAAGCTGGTAAGGAAACTTGAATGAATAATGGTAAGCAGACCCACTTTTGAGAAGAATATTTGCAAAGGTATGACTGAACAGATCAGAGGAAAATGACTGTCCAATTACGCACGTGGGCCTGTGTACACTCACCCCCACATTCATGCACACCGAGTTTAGTGGGCATAAGTTGATTTAGGATTTTTTTTTCAAAACTCACTGAAAACAGATCGAGATATTCGTCTCTAGTTCCGTGGTGTTGTCAAAGGAAACTTTTGGCGCGGATTTCCAAACGACTGAATATAAGACAAGAAACTCACTTCACTGTCCAATCCAAGTACGAAGAGCATGAGAAAGAATAAGACGGACCACAGCTGAGGTACAGGCAGTCGAAGTAGAGCCTCCGGGTAAGCAACAAAGGCTAGACCGGGCCCTTCCTTGACGACTTGTTCTATAGGCACTTGAAGGTCGTGAGCCATGGCTCCTAAGATGGAGAATGCGACCATTCCAGAGATGATACTGGTCAGTGTGTCCAGGACACTCACCACTAAGGCATCCCTGCAAGAAGGAACGAAGGCTCACATATCAACTGCGTAACGTAAAGTTATAGGTCAGCGTAAATACAGATGAAGTTTCCAGAACTTACCAGTGTTAAGAAACTTACTAATGGCGTTCTTTGGCATTCCGCACAGCCGATTGGCCTTAATAGCAATTTATTGCACACAGAGATCTCTCTATGGATATCAAATACCACAGACCCAGAGATAATTTTTCCACGTAGTTCTATTTTGTCACACATAATAGGCTACACCTCCGACACCAAATTTAATCGAAATTCGTTAAGTAGGTACGATGTTCCTTGCCTGTATACGTTGTTGCGGAAATCATTGTAGCTGCTGTACATGATGAGACCACCCATGGACACACTAAGAGAAAAGAACATCTGTCCTGCTGCTGCTTGCCAAACCTGCAACACGAGCACAGGTCGCAATTCATGTTCCTGCAACATGGGTGCGGTAATGCGGTCGGAACGTGAAGCTGACTAACATCCGTCTAGTTCCATGACGTAAGTATCTTCCACATTGCACTTGAACTTTAATGACAGTTCAGAAGGCATGATGATACTGGTCTAATATTACGAAGGATTGAATTTCGGGTGCTATCTATTTGGGGTACCAGGTTCAAATTCCGACAGCCACGAACTTCCTGTATTGGGGTTTTCTTATTTCATTTTCAGTCCCTCAAGTAACATTTACGCGATGACAATTTCCTTCTCTATCCCTCGATGTGATCATTAATTCTCACATTATATTCGAATATAAATAATACAAAATATACACGCAGCATCATTTAATAACCAATTAAACATTCAGCCAAATGTTTCATTACGTATAATGTGAAGCAAAGATAGGTCTCTCACTGAAAGAATCACAACTGTGGATAGAAACTGTTCTCCTGTAGTAATATAAGGTGGAATGGTAGTGAACCGTGCTGTGTTATATGGATTCTTTTTCCTACCTGAATGTCTAGTAGTTTTTCCCACGTAGGAGTAATGAAATACAAGATCCCTGTCAAGGAACCCTCTTGTAGCAGGCCTGTGACCAACAGGATGAATAAGATGACATACGGGAAGGTCGCGGCAAAGTACACCACCTTGAAGAACAGAAAACTGCCGTAAGTCACAGAGAAATGGGGAAAAACGGCAGTGACTCTGATCAACAAATTCTCTACTTGTATATACGCCGATGTTACATTAACGCTCTAACGGGGAACTCGTCATTTGACCACACCAAATTCAACCGACACTTTCACATCAAGTTCAACGTCCATGCACAATAACATAAAATTGAAGTTTCGTAAATTTTAATTTGTTTGTATTTGCTAGTGGATCCGCGCCCACTCGCTTAGCAACTACGAGGGGCTGTCATTCTGCCCATCCCTACTTCTTCGTCCTTCCACGCACTTCCTTCCCCCTATCTTCCAGATTCTGTGGCGAAAAACTAGGTAAACGAACAGAAAATAAATGTACGTAACTTAAAATCTTTCGCTCCAATCAATTGGATTTTAATATTTTGGCAAGACTCTGCCCTGCCATGGCCAAATATGGACTATTTTCTGTACTGCTCTTGGCAGTACAAGAGACTACTGGGCAGTACTGGGAGCTTAACTACACCCTAGTCTTACGCAGTTTCATTGAAAGCTTCTGGTCATTGCGTTACCGACCAGGGGATGGCGTCAGACGACTCAAAAAGTACATGTAAAAGTTAAAACTTTCGACATTTACGAAAATGTCGGACTTGAGATGGTAAGCTGCTTAAGAACATAAAGACTAAACCTCCTGGGTTGCCACCCCGTCATGAAGAAAAAACGGTGCTGAAGCGAGGTGTCGATACGTACCTTCCCCGAGGTCTTTATGCCTTTGACAAGGCACAACACCACGACCACCCAGGAGAAGAGCAGGCAAAGGGCAAGGTCCCACTTGATGGGGCCCACATTGTCGATCCCACTGGACAGATGCAGAACGTGCCGCCTGCAACGTGGCGTGGCACGACGTTAGGAATACAGCAGTTGAAGGCAAAGAAAGGAGAAACGATGGAAAAAGACAAGTGGAAGGAAAGGCAGAAACGAAATAACGACAAAAAGTAAACCGTGAGCTCTTTCTCAGGAGTGTAGTTGTCGGAGCGCGAATCGTGACCCTCTGAAGTCGAATAAGAGGAGGGGGGACAGTAGCGAGAGGCACAGAGAGATTAACAGGGTGGAACATACATTTTCGGCTATGAAAGTTACCAGGCAGTGCCCGCTCGTCCTTCTGGTAATCAAAAAAATCCTTAAAAATTCAGTTTTAAGTTCCTACGGCAACGAAATCACGCGTCTCCTTTTCAAAGATCAACTGATTTATATTGTTTAAGCAAATAATTGCCGTCTATTATGAAAATTATACGTAACCCACAATTACACTCTGTGGGGGAAAAACCAGAGTTACTCTTTATTAAAGGAGGTAGCATACAGTTGCCACTGGGCTTCAGAGCATTAAGATTTACCACCGCCTTCCAGAAAACGTGGAGTATTTATTACCTTCATCACGCCTTTATGGCACAGATGCTTAAGTAAGGGCGTAATTTTGATTGCTACACCCATTACTGAGAAATCAATAGGCTTAGTTGTATTTTTGTACAGGGGGATAGCTCACGGCAGAGAGGGGGGGGGGGAAGCTAGGGATAAGAATTATTGGCGCTAATGAAAACGTCGTAGGCGATATTCAAATCCACGATCCCACCGATTGCTCGGTCACAGACAGAAAAGGCCGCATGCGATAAATGCCTAAGTTCCGAAATTCCAAGTCCGAAAAATGAAGGAAACTGAGGTACACTTCATGCAGGCGTAGGAGAGGCGCGGAGGGAATCTTCTACATATTCTAGGACTCGGAAGTAGAAAAGAGTGAGTGAAGAACTTCAAGTTCAGGCCGCTCTATCCCAGGGAAAGAACCGTCGGGTAACCGTTGACAAGGTGGGCGGACCCCTTTATCCGGGTACATGGAAGACAACATTGAATACACAGAAAGTCAATAATAATCACCAGCATTAATAGGGAATTAAAGCTAAGAGGTGCGGCGATTAATTAAGCTTATGAAGCAAATGTGTGTTATTCGTGACATATAATTTACTTTGATGAAAAGCCATAACTTTAAAGCCTGGGTTATAAACAGATGGCATGAGACTATTTTCACATCAAATCAAATACAAAAGTTGTTCACAGCAGCAGCAAAAGTTTCTCACGAGATATGTGAGAAAGGTTAAATGGGATTCGTAACATTCAGTCCACAGGAAAATCGATTCGGTCCCACCTCTTTACAGGTGAATTTTAATTTGCATGATAGAAATTGGCAGAAATTTGGAAAATGTTCGTTTTATAGGCAACTTACTCCCAATATTGCAGGCTGGCTGTTTCGGGGTTGGTGCTATTGCTTCCTATGCTTCGGTTGCCCCATGATGAGTTCCCTTCTTGACTCTGTGGGCAATAAAATAGAATGTTGATATTAATATTTAACGATTACACAAATATACAAATAGCACTGAACTAGTACACAAGATTTAAACACATGTCCCGTGAGCGACAACTATTTTTTAAAAAAACGCTATTTAGATAGAAGCAAAACTTTTGCAAACTACTCGGCGGGTGAGTCTTGGCCACGCCATGCTGAAAATATTTATCTCAGGTTTCAGTTTTGGACAGCAGTTCCGAGTCGAATAGTGACAGCTTAAGTACTTACCGCGCGCGACCCTCTGACGTAGCAGGTGGTCATGTCCGCCCACTCCGGGTCACACTTGCTCCAAGGGACTTCCGTAGCAAATGACGACACCATATAGTGCACAGTGTAGGACATTATGACGTTGTAGTAGATACATACGATCAAGGACACGGTCACCATAGCGCAGCCCACCCCTGAAACATCCAGGAGGATCGTTCTGGACATTCAGTCACAGTCTCCACAACATATGCCATGTAAAGAAGCTGCCTGCTATAAGCATTACTGTAATTGAACGGACAGTTAAAAATACACGTAAGACTCCCACAAGGCTGTCATGAGGATGAACGTTCTCTCTGTTCTCGCTTTACGAACAGCAAGAGTATGATGCTTCATCAACAACAAATCAAGTGGTTAATATTTCTGGACAGTAATACTCTCACACCAACTCTACCACTCCTTAAGCAACCAACGTTTGAGTTCTGTCTTCTGCTGTAATCTTCCTTCTACTCTCCCGCAGGCCAGTGGCCACGAACGTTTTGTATTTCTAACGCCCTGGTGTACGTTCCGCTAGCCGCAGATCGTCCCTTGCCATTCCCGTCGATCATCTAGCAAATGTTACCCAGTACTGTAAATTGCTGTGTTCTGGCTTGTGACACCATGTGGTCTTAAATGTGATAGGAGAAACGTATCGCTCCATTAGCTGTGAAGAATGCCACAACTGACATCTTCAACGCCGTGAGAATCTCCAAGATTCCAATGGCGACGACACACTGTCTAGTTTTACTGGGTGTACTGTTATTTAAAAGCAGCGCAGCCTTCTAAATGGAAAGTTATAAAAGTAGATGTAAGATTTATCGCGAATATAAACTCGCATTTTCATCAGCAGCGTACAACAAACGAATATAAATACAACCACATTATAAGCTTATAAAATGTTCCTCGTAAATTACACTTGTAAGTTAATACCAACCAGAACAAATGCCAAGTTTTCATTACGTACCGGAAAATGAAATTTTGGATACATGTCTCTCAGCTGATTGGCTGTCATCATCAGCTTTGTAGCAGCCGATTTGTATCTTCAGTAATAAACATCAAGGTCAACGAGCGTACAAAGACGTGATGAAAGAATTTGGTACACGTGTAAGTTTTCTAATTAGAAGGCGTATTTCCACGTTCGTGCCACCTGCATCCACTCACCTTTCGCGATGGGGCAACAGTTCCAAAGGGCCACTGGGCCGACACCACCGAACTGACCCACTGCTAACTCTAGGAAGTACATGGGCTTCCCCGCCAGAACCAGCATGATGAGGTAAGGAATCAAGAAGGCACCTGTGGTCACAGATAACGCAGGCTTTAGGCACAACACATTTCGTGAAAAGGACGGTGGAAGAAATGAGACTGCAATCACTGACTCTATCATAATTCATATCATAAATACAAAGGAGAGGTGGGACAGACGCGTTATTAACAAGCACGTAGGCAACAGGACGACTGACAACGATGACCCGGAAAACAGAGCTTTAACAACAGACGCACGTGACAGGTGAAATGTCAACACGAGGTCAGCGATAGATGTGATTGCATCTCATTGACGACCGTATTTCCTATTTGCGAACGTTCCACGTTGTTCCGGTCCCATTTTAACGACGTCGGCCAAAGTTTCGTTTTCGCCCCTTGGTCAGAACTGCGACGCGTTTGAGTTGTCTCAGTAGATCCGCCGCATCTGCGGAGAACAGCGCAAGGATGAGGAAGAATTTCACGCTGTAATTATCGAACACTGCTTCCTACAACACTAATTCCTGAATAACTTTTGTGGCTGAACAGCGTAGAAATCGATCAACTACCTCGTTAGGATTAACTTCAATTACCAGATCGAAAAGAGTAGGGCCGTTTCCTTTTACATGAAGGCGGAAACAGAGCCATCTTCTGAAATGTATAATAGATCTCCTTTATGCGTTCTTTACATTAAGGGCGCAAAGCAAAGCAAAATAGAAAGGTTATATCTTTGTTGGTCGGCATGCGTAACTGCCAAAACTACTGAACATATTTAAATTATATTTGGTGATCTACATTAAAAGTTGTCGAGCAAATGCAATTTTGTTCGTAGGCCTATCTATCAAATTTAAATTTAATCTACATTAAACTAAAATCGAACAAATCGACTTTCTCATAAACTGCTCAACCTAGAGGTGTCTACGTGACATATAATATAGAACTCACTGAGATTTCCAACTTTTATTCGCAATATTTTTCGACAAAGTGAATATTAATTTACAGGGAAAATTATTTGTGACTCTTAAATAGTGTGAACTTTGCAATAAATATTCGTATCTGAAACGTAACGGGCATGAACACCCCCATAAATAAAAGAAGTTAAATACGTAAATACAAATAAAGCAAGCATAAATACATTGAGGTGTAAGAAGGAAGAATAAACACGACGGCTTCATCTCATTTGTATGCAAAGTATGAATGGCAGTTATATTTAAATAAAGTACTCGTCACCAACCACTCAGTACACTTTTTGGTAAGAAATCCATAAACAGGGAAGATGAAAGGAATCAATACATAAACTTAAAAATCATTATATGAAAGAGGAAGTGTTAAATAATAAAACAAGAAATAAATAAAGAGAAACAGACATACAGGAGACAGGACTGTTTCCACGCAGCATTGCCCGCCCGGGACTCACGCAGATCTTGAAGCAAACCGCTGCGAGCCTGGATTTTTCTGTACTATAAGTGAGTTTTCCTTATTTTCATCACTGTTTTCGTTCTTCTTCATCTTTATTGAGGACGAGAAACGATCACAACAGTCTCCCCCTCCTCGCAAAATACCAACCACCTCACACACCCTAAAGTTCAGCTGAGGGTGAATATTATCGATCCGCACCCTCTACATCCCTGCTACAGGGCCAGCGTGCCGGAGCAGAAATTATCATTAACGAGCCAATTATAAACACTGTATTTCTGGGGGGGAAGCATTTTTAACCGAAGCACTGGAAATTTGTATAAAGCCATGCTAAGATAAGTGATAACGCCTAAGATGAGCTTCATATAATGTAGGATTCATATTTGACCAACTGAATCTGGTGCCTTCCGAATTCAAAGGACTTATACGCCATCAGACACAATCTATGTGTGTCTGATCCTTTGTGACCTTAATTTGGAGTTACAAAATACGTAGCCATGTTTTTAAAAGCTAAATCAATTCTGGGCTGTTATAACTTTTCTGAACGTGAACGTTGGGTTACTGACTGAAACACTGCGCTAAACCTGTGCAAGGCAAGGCAAGATGGTTTCCACAATCACCAATTAGTCAGTCGGGGACAGCATGTCGGAGGATGAGGTTACTGTTATAGGCACACTTACAATTTGTAAGCAGTTGTGTAAGCAAAACACTTCTGTTTACAAACATTAAAAGAAACAAGTTAGATATGTACACAATAACGTAATAATTCTGTCACGTTCGACAGAATTTGACCTATTTTCTGTAACCAAGGTAATAGTTGTTACCATGGTAACCACGGTAGCCTGGATATCCCCATCCAGTCACTCTGAAGAGCAGAAACGCGTGTGGGTTTACAGAAATGTACGTCTTTATATTTTGTGTTGCATGAAGAACAATCAGTAGCCATCATACAAATTACCCTGTCATCGATACACTAATCGATAACATGAAAACATTATTTTGAAGAGATGGAAAAAAGATTAGCAAGATTAAATCCCAGACTCCTCCGAAATTGAATTATCTAATTTAGAGGTACATGCTATAAAAATAAATTTATTAGCAAGTAAACTTAATACTACTGTGTTTAAACTGCATTTTTCCTTTTTTGCCTACTTTCTGTAAAGTCACAACATTAGTACTAGCGCGCACTAGCGTTTTTTCTGCCGCAGCGGTAAAACTACAGGAACGGTATATTCTTGTTACCTGTGTAAACGGACGGTGAAATGAACGCATTGTCTGCGTTTTCTTTTCAGTTAGGAGCTGGATATTGTGGAGATTTATACTGATGGGTGGAAATATGGGTTTGAAAAAAAAACCCTTCAAATAACCTTGAAAATTTTAAAAGCCCCTATTTGAAAAACACACGGACTATGGTCAGCCGGGTATTTACGGTTTGGGGGAAATAAGCGTGAAAATATATGACCTTGAGAATTTTAAAGACCCGTATCCCGAAAACTATTCGGCCGATCTCGTCGTGACTAACATATGACCTTGACCTATACATGACCACATTTTCACATGAGTATGGATAATCAGCTATTTTTCGTTCGGCAGATATAAGTATGATAATATATGACCTTGAGAATTTTAAAGACTCGTATCTCGGAAACTATTCGGCCGATCTCGTCGTGACTAACATATGACTTT